AAACGTCACTCAGTCATTTTGAAATTCAAATTACAGTAACACATTGCTTAGGTTGAGGATGACAAGCATGACGCCTTCAAAGCGACAAAGTATTGAGCAAGAACGTATTGACTTCTATTTCACAATTCCACCCAACAGAAAGTAATACTCTATTACACTCTCATGAAAATAAAAGTTCCACAGCAATATTATTTACCTACGAAAACATGTTTAACCCCACACGCCCCAGCCCATTAATAACATTGCTGAATAGTGATCCCCAGTCAGTAAGCTCTAGATATAGATTTAAAGTCTAAGGTACGGACCATTTGATCTGAGGGGGCAGTCTGAGATATTTTAGAGAAAAAATTCTGACCCTGATTTTTGCCTTAAACAAAAATTCTGGCCGTATCTGGATTGAAAACAATAATCTTGTCCACTTTTTTGCTATTAGAAAAAAATATTTTCAACAGAATTATTTAGCATTAAATGAACATGATGAATAAAAAACAGGCGTATTTATTTTTTTTTTGGGGGGGGGGGGGGGGGGGGGGGGGGGTTGCATGTGAATCCCATATCTGACCGGAATGTCTGTTTCGCCGAACTGATATACTGAATACTTTTTTCAGGGCACGACTGCAACCTGCCTGCTGGGTGTGGCCTATATGTCTCCATGTGTCGACCGTCATTCACAACTTCATTGTCATTTCCGACTAATTCGTAGCCTTTGGTTGATTTGGAACCCCTCACTTCCCTTGTTGGGTAAAACATTTAAACCAAACATTTGGATGAAAATTGCTTGTTTGTCTTTCTTCGTGTCGGTCGTATTGTAAATTTCATTGAATAGCCGTATATCTTGTTTACAACAAGAAATCTGTGAGGTTATGCTAACTGACCATACAACAAACGAGAATTTTCCATGTCCATTTTTGACTGACAAATCCCACATCAAATATATTAATTAGTACATAGCTTTGAATCCATCCAATCATTTCATAATAGACAATTGATGGAGAGAATACGGAACCAAAAATGTCCAACCCCTACACTTTAACTATAAAATGCATTTTACACTTATTTTATGTTTTTTTAGCCAAAAAAAGGTAAAAAAAAAATTTTCGCCTCGCTCTGCTCGGCTAACTTTAATACTACGCCCCCCCCCCCCCCCTTTCCAAAATCCTGGATCCGCCCCTGAATGTTGTGACCACTGCATAATAATGTTGTGACCACAGCATATAATGATGATCATCAACATAAGGCAGTCATGGTGGTTGTGCGTCGTTCAACACGATCTCGCAAACATCCTGTTCGTTTTCAAATTTTATCTTTGGATACAATACAAATTCTTCCGATGAATTTACGACCCAATCAGACACTTATTATAAAGTGAAGCGAATTTTATCTCAACGGAAAAGAAATGGAAAAACAGAATACCGTGTGCAATTTAAAGGCGAACCGACACAGAATGCATTATGGATACCATTCGAACAGATTAATTCACACACACAAAAGATAGTACAAACAAAACAACCGCCATGTGTATTTTATTATGAACATTATTGAATTATGTTTTGTGACGTTTTATGACAATGTTGATTTGTTTATCGTAATACGCAGATGTTATTTTGTGACAAGAAATATTTGAAGTACTGAATTCTTTAAAAGAACAATGTGTCTGGTTTTATAAAATTTGTCTAAAAGTAATAATATGTGTATAAATAGAAAGTGATAATTTTGTGAGAAAAAGGAAGTAACTGACAATGTAATGGGTGTCAGTTAACGGAAAGGTGTTTTGAAAAGATTTGTTTTATTATTAAAATATCGAGAGAATATTTGCTTCAGTATTGCTATGATAGCAGTTTTCAAAAGATTTTTATTTCAAATTTACTGTTCTTGAATTTTTATTGAAGTTTTATTCTTCAATGTACATTTTTTTCAGGCTTACGATTTGAGTGAAGAGAAGTTAATTTAGTAGTAAAAGTTTTAAATTTTAGTAATTCATTTTGTTGAATATGAAATCATATATTAACATTAGAGATTGCTTTCATTTTTTGAAGTTTGACAAATAGCAAATATTGCATTTAGGCAATTAAGAGAAAAAATACTGCATTTAAAGTGTTGTCATTTGTAATGACGGACTGTGTGTAGAATACCAGAAATAACCTATTTTTAGGGTTGTATTTGTTGAGGTAGCGTATATGGCTAGTGTGTTGCTTTAATATAATTCCATTTAATAAGAGCCAAGGTCTCTGCTGGTGTCATCATTTATTAAAGTTTGCTCTGTACATGTATAACCAATTTTATAGTGGAATATGCAGTAGATAGTGATTTTTTAGTATAGTATACAAAGATTTGATATTGATTGAATAATAGATTGAAGACGTAAAAAGGCATATTTGTTTATGACATTATTGAATTTTTGATTTATTTTAAATGACCTAAACGCCTTGACCATTGAAAACAAGCGGGGTGTGTTTATTTGTTCAGGGGAATTTTATATGTCAGTTTGGTATGGTCAAGACGTTTGGTCAAGTTGGCATACTTTTAAGAGAGTTATCTCTCCTTTACCAATTATTGGGTTATGTGTATATGCGGATTGCAGTCCGTAATTGAATTGTATATTAGTTTGATTTGTTCTCTTGATTTATTGTTACCATAGATGTACATGTGTTGTGAAAAATAGAACTTTATTGATTTGAGAAAAGTGGTTATTTATTTATGCCAGAGTAAAGCATAAAAGTAGTTAAGAAAGCGAGATTTTCATTGGATAACACAATTAATTAAGCATAAGCTGAATTCATTTTAGCATAAGCTAAATTCATTTTAGCATAAGCTAAAATCATTTTAGCATAAGCTAAAATCATTTAAGCATAAGCTAAATTCATTTAAGCATAAGCTAAAATCATTTTAGCATAAGCTAAATTCATTTTAGCATAAGCTAAATTCATTTTAGCATAAGCTAAATTCATTGATCGTATATGCGAAGTTTAATATTTATGACCTTGATTCCGCGCCAACATTTCTGTATAAGCTGAACATTACAGCATATGCTAAATTGATTTTAGCTTATGCTAAAATGAATTCAGCTTATGCTAAAATGAATTTAGCTTATGCTAAAATGAATTTAGCTTAAGCTAAAATGAGTTTAGCTTATGCTAAAATCATTTCAGCATAAGCTTAAATGGATTTAGCATATGCTAAAAGCGATAATTATGACCCTAATTCCGCGCCATAGATGAGCGAACAATTAAAAATGTCTTGCACGTTGATCTTTTTATCGATTTCAAGAAACACGGTGAATAACGAACCTTTTTCACGGCTGCACGTGAAATAAAAAGTGGCAATACACGTTGCACGAAAATAACCCTTTCCCCCCTCTTTTAAAGTTTAAAGTCGGAAGTCTTGGGTATGACTTAAAAGTCGGTCTGATGACGGAAACAATATCCGGACGCCCTTTTCTTCGTTTTTCTCCCAAAATAACCCAAACTGAATAATCATAAGAATGGATGACAAATGCGACTATGCATGGTACCTATAGGACACAGAGGCATGATGATTAATTTATTGGGGAAGGAAGAGAAGCGACACACAAAATGAGGTCTTCTCGTTTAATAGTATAGAAGATAACCTGAGAACAGTATGTTGTAAAAATATTGTGTCTTCGCTAATGATTAGGGAACCATATGACCTACTTAAGGGTCTAAAGGTCAGGTTCCCTACTCCAAAACCATATATTTCGTGTTTGACATGTCGAGATGCATTGATGAATTAGAGTTGGGGGAGTTCCCAGGGGTAATCCCCACCCCTGTCATTTAACAATGTTTAAATATTTTAAAATTTGTTGAGATCCCCATCCCTAAACCATGGTCTTTCTTGTTTGATATGTCAATATGCATTACGAGTTCACAAGGGTATATATCTTCATCGAGGGGGTAGGGGTCTAATGGGATTTTGTTTGTGATACATCGTAACAGAGTCCTCTTACAATCATTACGTGTTTGTTGTATTTTCGTATCTTTTCTTTTTAGAAGTTTGATCTAACAATAAACTACTTATGTTGATATATCATTGTTTTATATAAAGACTGGCGTTATAGTTATGCTGATGTCGAAGGTACAATAGTGTCCATTCAGCAAAGAAGTAAATTAAGGATTATTCCTTTTCCGGAAATGCAGACAAGTAGTTAATCACTGCCACAACTCATTCCTCAAATAATTGTTGATTCCATCTCTTCTGTCAGACAATTGGATTATGACCTCTGTGTTTTGTAAAAGGTTTCTACTTCCTATTGAGAAAAGTTAATCATTACAATCATGCTATCTTTGTAAAGAAGACGAAACTCGCTGTTCATCTGTTATTTATGAAGTTGATTTTACAGAAAGTTATCTAGACCATTGTCCCCTCTTTATTATCAGTATAAAATGCTTTATGGAAATTTCCAGCTCAATTTTACTTTGCATTTAGTGGTCCATGTCTATGGTACTCTTTGTCTCGCCTTTGCGATATCAAAAGGTTAAAGCAGTACATCTAGAATGAAGCTACCACGTACCAATTTAAAGAAAGTAAAGAGTGGCAAATATATTCAATTAATGTTTTAAGTATTGTTAACGAACTTGCATCACTTTACAGAGATCAATATTCTTCAAGTTTAACATGAAGAATGTACTTAGCAATGTTCAACATGCAAACTGACTATAGTTTCCGATTGATTATCTTTAATTCTAAACTTACAGACATTTATGTTATAACATAATGGTTTGTAATCTTTGGCAAATGACAGTTTATTCTCATTATAAAGCTGGTAACAACATCGACAAGTTATTTCAAATCATATAAAAAACTGAAATGTTGTTACTTTGATTATTATTTTGTAATTTCAACATGCAGAATTAATAGCTTTCTCTGCTTTTTCGATAATTGTAACCACGTCATTTTAGTATGTATCAATGCTTTGAATTGCATTTAATCTTTCATTGAAGTTTATTACAGGCATCATTTCACATATTTATATTCTTTTTCAGATAATTTATTGCCCAATTAGAGTCGCTATTACCGGAAATGGCTTAGATTCCGATGCAGTATTCTTCTAGACATTATATCATACTTTGATATGAAATTCGTGACACTGGAGGAGGAAACTTTTGGGAATAACTGTGAATTTACAATAAGGAATATACTGATTAAGCATACAAAATACCATTACCAATCTACATTTAATGATGAAATTATCCGATACAAGCTAATGACTAATAGCAACATCAATCACATTACGACGACCAACGAGGAAATACCATTTGTAATAATCAAAAGGGAGCAAAAAATATTCTTAATGTCGACATCTCGACTGGACGATTATTTCTTACTCAATCAATCGGATAAAACGGACGCCGCTACAACTGTTATATATTACAACTCATCACTTCTAAGTGAGGTTCCTTTAAATTCATCAAACTCTACAAATTCCCATTATGAACTAAAACATCCTGCAATTGGTGCCATTCTTTCCATGTTTTCGCTAGTTACAATTCTTGGGAATTTGCTTGTTATCGTTTCAGTCTACAGAGAATTATATCTAAGGACAATAACTAATTATTTCATAGTATCACTAGCTGTTGCAGATCTTATGGTTGGAGGCATTGTTATGCCATTTAGTATAAGTCTTGAACTGACCAATCAAGTATGGCTATTTGGAGCTGAATGGTGTGACATGTGGCATTCGTTTGACGTTTTGGCGAGTACTGCATCTATATTAAATCTGTGTATCATTTCCCTTGATAGGTACTGGGCAATTTCCGACCCAATAGCGTATCCTACAAAAATGTCATCATGTAAAGTAATGCTATTGATTGCATTTGTTTGGCTTTGCTCTGCAGGAATTTCATTTCCTGCTATTGCGTGGTGGAAAGCCGTAACTCCAAATGATCTGCCAAGCAGTATGTGTTTCTTCACAGAAGATAGTGCCTATTTAATATTTTCCTCGTTTGTTTCATTTTACTGTCCTACTTTTGTAATGATGTTCGTTTATTGGCGGATATATTTAGCAGCCGCTCAACAAATGCGGAGTTTGAAAATGGGATCTAAAGTTCTAACGTCAAACGGTAGCCATGGTAATCGAGAGGTCATGACCTTACGAATTCACAGGGGCGGAATGACACGACAATCATCGGACGAATATTCCAATACCTATGAAAAATGCGTCATAGATCCTGAAAATCATAGTTTGTCCCCAGAATCAGCACGTGCGTCTATACAATCACCTGGGAGACAGGCTAAAAATATTACTCGCAAATTACGACAGTTTGCTCTAAGCAAAAAATTGACAAAAATTGCCCGTGAACAAAAGGCGGCAAAAACTTTAGGCATAGTTGTTGGTGTTTTCATTATATGTTGGATGCCATTTTTTGTGTTTAATATACTGTTTGGAATATGCCATACAGCGTGTGTTACATCTCCAGAAATAGTCTTTCCAATATTTACGTGGTTAGGATATATCAACTCCGGAATGAATCCGGTTATATATTCTTTATCAATGAAAGATTTTCGTCGAGCTTTTTGCAAAATTTTATTTGCGTGTTGTCCAAAACAACACTTTGAATACAGAAAAACTAATAATAACTGTTCTTCTACATCAAGTTTCACAGTGACGTGTACAGATCGTCTATAGTTATTATGTTAAATCAAATCAGAATATTCCATATTCGTCAACTGAACTAAAGAAGGGAACCTCCAGACATTGTTCCAGAAAAATTAATACATTACAATTCCAATTCGGTGAGCAAAATAATTGGGACCAAGTAAAAAAAAATAAACTGCGATAAATTTTGAAAGGCTTAATAGCGTTTATTGAAAAGTTGAGTGATGAATAAATATATCGCACAAGGAATTTATCAAATGGTTGTAGAAATGACATTACCTTATGATGGAAGTTTATGAATTACTGAGAATGCATATGACGCATGTTGATTAAACTCAATATGCTTCGTCCGTTTTCCGTGTTATAATTGTCTTTCTTACATACGTCATCAGTTTTGTGTGTATACTGCCCGTATTTGAACTTTGGTGAGGTCTTCACTTCTAATATTTCAAGTTACATTCTCACATACAATTTAATAAAAGGACGAAAGTTGTCGGTGTAAAAAGTCTGGAAATAACGAAATGGGAAATACGGTGCTAAAATAAAATGATATAACAAATAAAGCATTTCTTTACACTTAATGAAATAAATCAATGTAAACTTTGAATTCAAAGGTAGTATCCCGATATCACTGTACAGACAAAACTTTGCTAGGGTTACTCAAAAACATATCTAAACTATGCAATGCAATCATGCTCAGATAGTACATACGTAACAACAATAAATGTTCACAAGTTAAACACTGCCCATTTCTAGATCTACAAAACAAAATATCTCTATCATACTTTCATGAAATTTTTATTTGGGTTTTTATCCAATCATCTGCTATCCGAACGATATTTTTAAATGTTAATGACAAATACAGGACTGGCCACAAAAATGCTTCTTGGAAAAAATTCCACGTGAATTTAAATGTATTCTCATGGACATGACAACCATCCTTTTTCAAAAGTTAAAAAGAAGTGCGCTAATTTGATAACGTAAACAGTATCTTATCATGAGCGAATTCTTTACATTTACCTAAAGAATGCATATTGTTTAATTAGAATTATTTTCTATATATTCCACAGGAATTTTTCTATTCGCTTGAAATGTATTCCATTAAAATTTGATAAAAATCACTTTATCTTACTGGTATGTCGCAATGCCAGTAAAAAAAATACCGTGTTGATGACAAATTCATTCTTAATTGGCCGTTTCGGAATCTAAAGGACTCTGGGTAATTTCATTGTTCTTACCCCAAAAACGTCATTGGTTAAATTTCCATTGTTGAGGACATTTTTCAACAATCACGACGTTTCGGTGTACACTTTTGAAAATATTACCAAGAAGGCATTATATTCTGAAACGGCGAATTGATTAATAGCACTGCCGCCATGGTTAATTGCATAATTGATTTTGAAGTATGTAAAATAATCAGCAACATTTTGACTGTTTTGAGCAAGACGTCATGTAATATAGAAATGAATCATTGATCTTACCTTGGACCAACAATTTTCTTCTTTATCATTACCTGGTTTTTATGTTTTGTTCAGCTTCAACCCTTTTTCTCGTCACTTTGCGTCCGTCTTCCGTCGTCATCGTCTGTTAACTTTTACAAAAATATTCTCCTCTGAAACTAAGGGGCCAAATATTCCCAAACTTGGCCTCAATCATCATTGGGGTAATTAGTTTTAAAAATGTGTTCGATGCCTCCAGCCAACCAGGATGGCCAACATGGCTAAAAAAAGACCATAGGGATAAAATGCAAGGTTTGCCTATTATTTTGAAAACCGCTTTAAATAGAGAAAATCTGACAGGGTAAAAATGTTCAGAATGTCGAGCCCTACCTCTTCTTCGTTAAGTCAAAACTGTCAGACGACTTCTTATAGGACTTATTACCCTTAAAAGATGAATTTTACCATTTTTTTTAAAAATTTTGCCTATTATCTCGAAAATTATAATAGATAGACAGAAACTAGAAAGAGCAAAAATGATCAGCAAGACAAGATCTTCAAATGAGTCGGCATGGCTGAAATCTTCAGTCGACTCTTTATTAGAGTTATTGTCCTATAATGACCATTTTTGCCAATGTTTTGCATTTTTGCCTAATATCTTAAAAACTATATTAGATAGATAGAAACTTTAAAAAGCAAAAATGATCTGCAAGACAAGATCTAAAAATAAGTCAAAAAGCACAAATGATCAGCAACACAACATTCACAAATAAGCCATAATGGCCCAAATCTTCAGTCGACTCGTTAATGGAGTTATCGCCCTCTAATGTTATTTTTAATATTTTTCTGCATTTTTTGTCTATTATCTTGAAAACTACAATAGATAAATAGAAACTTTAAAAAAAGGAAAATTATCAAGACAAGACAAGACAAGACAATTTATTTACAACTTAGGCACACGTATGGTGCTACAAGAGGATAACAATTATACATTAACAATTACCTATATACTTATACATTTACAAGCAAGACACACAATAAATAAATAAGTGATATCATACAATTAAACTGAAATAAACCATATTTGGTTGATTTGTTTGCAAAATTCTTAATTGCAACTGGATAATCAGCTGGATAAGATCTACAAATATGTCAACATGACTGAAATTGTCAGTTAACTCTTAATAGAATTATTCCCCTTTAATGAAGATTTTTACTAAAAACTGGCCATTGTTGAAGATACAGGTGAGCAACACAGGCTCTTTAGAGCCTCTAAGTTAATAAAAGATTCGATGTTAGCAAGCATTGATTTAGTGTCTTTCAATCTTTTGATAGATCTGGAACATAGGGTCTGTAAGCTGAAAAATAGTACAAATTATAAAAACAAATTTTGATTCGTTGTTATCTGTATGAGATTGTGAACAGTGATGCATCAGATTTCCATGCCAATTATCAGTAAACAGGAGCAATTTTAAGTCTAATGATTCCTTGAAAGCAAAAGAAAATGTATCCTGATATTGTGAGTTCCTATCGGATAAACAAAATTTCCCGTGAGACTACATATTTCCAGTAAATTAATATGTCAAACGTGTTCTGTCTTAAATGATGCAATTTGTATTTACATCTTGTAACGAAAAAAAGCAACCACCATTCAAAACGTTCCAAGAAAAGTGTAATTCTAATTTTACATTTTCCAGTCGTCCAAATTAAAGTGCACAGTTGAGTCAATATGCGCAATTCCTTTCAGGTAGGCGGTAATGGTAACCTTTTCCTCAATTTCTCTTCCCATGTAGTAAACTTGGATATGTATGATGGCTTTGTTCGAAGCTGAGAAAGCTTCACTTATGTGGTTAAATTTTCGGGGTGCGAAGTTCTGAATCATTTTACCGTAATTTAGCATAACGCGAAAAGCCTTTTTTTCCGCTTCTCGAGGTAAAATAAATCCCTTTTTATAAAAATAAGTTCTTTGAAAATTCATTATTTTGCGTATATTTGATAACTCCAAAGTTTTTACACCTTTATTCCTCAAATCAGCACAAATCGGGTTAAGCTCAGTTACTTGTTAAAATTTAAACATGTCCAATATCACTGCTCATAGATTTTTTGTTTACCTACTATAACAATCGACCCTTCCGCTATGATGACCGCAAAACAGTTATAATTAACAGATAAACTTAGGCTGAAAAAAGAGAAATGTATGTCACAATGATTGTGCTCCCCTAAATTAATTGTAATAAACATAAATTCATGCGAAGTGCACCATCTGAACTTCATTGTGAAAGAAGTAATTTATGACACAAAATCCAAATAAACACAAAACCAAATCAAAGGAAATTCTTCGATTGGTGTTTTTCATCTAAATGTATGTACACACCACACGCAGGTGAAGTAGGTATGTTGCCAGTAAAGAAATAAATCGTTATTCAAAAACATAAATCTACACGTTTGTAATAATTTAAAACTCATCAGAGATACCAGGCTTAATATAATAAGTTTTATGTTTAAACATCGTCTATGATGATACTTAGATTACTTTTAAATCAAAATGCAATGTCAAGGTCACAATATAACTTATGATATTAAAGCTGGTAGTAACGTAACAGATTCTATACTTAAAAATGGGGACGAATTCAATCATATTTGACTTCAAGGTCATGCAATGTCAATGGTTAAGGTCGAAACATGACTTTGATTGACATAACACAGAACTTAAGTTCTGTACTATTAAAAAAACTGTAGATAAGGACTGAGCTTAAGTTGGTATATATTTATCAAACCCTGGCTTTCAAATATTTAATTTCCAATGGTATCATCAGTTCAGTAGTCAGTGTTTCGGTACGGACAGAATTTATAACAAACTATTCTACAATTCCTCATTGATAAATTCAATAGTTAATTGAAAACTAAGGTTCCAACTCCTTCATGCAAAGTTAACGTAAAATGAATTTAACTATTCGTTATAGATTCTTGTTTTTCGTATAGCTCCTAACGTTGCTTTGTATTTATACATTCCTAGCTTTCAAATGTTTAGGTTTGGTTGTTCCTAATGAAGGTAAATCCCTAATTGAGCGTCCGACGCACGAAATTATTTAACGTGTTGTTTTCATTTACTATAACTGGCTCGATACCATTGCTGGTGGACTGTTAGTCCCCGATGGTATCATCAGCTCAGCTTCAGTACTGACATGATTTATAACAAAATGAATTCTAAAACCCCCCTTTAAAAAATTAGAAAATTATCAAGAAAATAAGATTTTAACTCCCTCAGGCGATATTGATCTCAGATGAACTTGGCGATTCTTCTAAGTACCCTTTTGGTCATAAAGCTCCTAACGTTGCTGTGTATCTACACATCCCTGGCTTTCCAATGTTGAGATTTGAGCGTTCCAGATAAAGGAAAAATCCCTAAAAGCGAGTCGGACGCACAAAATTTTACAAAGTGTTGTTTTCATTTAATATAATAATAAGATTTGGTATGATTGTCAGTGAGATAACTCTCCACAAGAGAGCAAATGACATAGAAGACTTATTGAATGTAAAGTTTAGAGATCACAGAACAAGTTAAAAGCGTAACTTAATGAAATTTAAGGTTTAAGCAACCATAATCGCCAATCTTGCATCGAACTAAATCATCCCTTGTGTAATTTCAATTGCTTGGGTCAACTAATAATTATTATGTAACCAAAATTGCCATGGGAATGCTGAACTTCTTCTTGGAATTACATATCTTTATTATATTTCATTATTGCTTTCTATATTAAAGGGGCACTAGCTACAAATTAGACAAAAAAATAAAAAAATATGTGTGTTTTTTTTTTTTCAAACATTTATCAAAGCAGAATATAGAAATAATATTTCGCTATTTGCGGTCAGTTTTTTCAATTTTTGTCAAAATAAGCTCGAAGACCTCGCTTGCAAGTAAATAATTCGAACTCATTTGAACAACCTTGAATTTGACCCCTTAGCTGGAGATGGGTTGCGCATGTGTTCGGCATACGGTCAGGATGTTCATATATTTAAAAGAAAAAATGTCAATATTGGAAATTGAAACAATAGAGCTACCAGAAATTACCATTTCGATGACTGATCCGGCCCACAAAAAAAACCTTTCTGATAAAGGTAAAACG